GCTTCTCTGCAAGATGGTCTCACTTCTCTTGGCTACCTTGCTGGCTACTACTGGTCCAGCCGCAGCCCAGTTGAACAGCCTTGCTCAAGGCGCTGGTCTGCTTTATTTTGGCACGGCTGTCGATAACCCCAGCTTGAGCAACTCGGTATACACAGCCATTGCATTCAATTCCAGCGAATTTGGCCAGATTACCCCGGCGAATGGTCAAAAATGGGACTCGGTCCAGCCTTCCCAGAACACGTTCAATTACGCCAACGGAGACGCCATTACCACGAAAGCCCAAGCGGCTGGACAGATTCTCCGATGTCATAACCTGGTTTGGTACAATCAGCTCCCAAGCTGGGGTATGTGAGAAACGGACCCGGAAATATGCAAATGTGCTCATCTGACTTTGTTTCAGTCTCCGGCGGCTCGTGGACCACTTCGACTTTGCAAAGTGTCCTCACCACTCACATTACCAACGAAGTTACCCACTACAAAGGAAAGTGTTATGCCTGGGATGTCGTAAACGAGGCACTTGATGACTCTGGAAACTACCGTACCGATGTCTTTTACAATATTCTCGGCACAAGCTACATCCCATTCGCCTTCAATGCTGCCGCAGCGGCTGATCCCAGTGCCAAGCTCTACTACAATGACTACAACATTGAGTATGCTGGGGCGAAGACCACAGCTGCCATTAATATTGTGAAAGGCATCCAGGCTGCTGGAGTCAAGATAGATGGCGTGGGCTTGCAAGCCCACTTCATTGTTGGATCTACCCCTTCCAAGGCTTCACTCGTCAGCACCCTCCAATCGTTCACCGCCTTGGGGCTTGAGGTGGCGTATACGGAGTTGGACATTCGTCACTCTAGTGTTCCAGCAAGTGCGTCTGCTCAGCAGCAACAGGCTACGGATTATGTGACTGTTGTCAGCGCATGTCTTTCGGTGGAAAATTGTGTAGGAGTTACCGTTTGGGACTTCGATGACCAAGTACGTGATGGATTATTCAAGTGACTACTCTTGTATGACACGAACCTCTGAGCGGCCATAAAACTAATCCTCTGAAAAATGAACAGTACTCCTGGGTACCCTCAACGTTTTCTGGGTCTGGAGAAGCCGACTTGTGGTCTTCAAACCTGGTGAAGAAGCCAGCTTATACCAGCATCGCAAGTTTCTTGAAGAGCGCGGCTACCGCTCCTGGAGCGACTGCAACTTCTAGCATCACTACTGGTGAGTTTGCCGTTGATAAAGAGGTCTGTATCTAGCTGTACTGACCCCTCGGACTTTTTCCCCCACAGCTGCTCCTACTATAACGTCTTCGGCGACCACTCCCCCTGGCATTACTTCCGCGCCTGCTACGACTGCCGCCGTGGGTACAATTGCTCACTGGAATCAGGTGAGAAAGAGCTTCTGATCCATCTTGTAGTTGACAGTGCCAACGTACTGACAATTGCACACAGTGTGGTGGACAAGGCTTCGCAAGTGCCGGAGCTTGTGCTTCTCCTTACACATGCTCGACGGTCAACGCCTACTACGCACAGTGCTTGTGATTGATGCTGTGGATTATCTCAGTGTCAATCATTCTTGATGTCTTTTTGGAATTGATATGTTATTTGAGTATCCAGAGTTTGAGTCGCTCATTCAATATTAGAGACAGCTACCAAGGTATCTTATCCGTTATTCCAAGATGAGCTTAGATCACTTTCGCATCGCAGTCTTTGTAATTTCCCAGCTTGAAGAGTCCCTTTGCGTTCTCCCTGCCAATCTTGGCTTTGTCGGAAATACTCAATTCGGTCTTGTCAAACCATGTGCACGCCGGCTCAAACTTCTCGAACGGATAGTCAACCGAGAACAGAATCCGGTCCGAGCTGATTTCGTTCATGCAGAAATTGAGTGTGGGAGACGAGAAGTGACCGCTCGTAGTAATCCAAATATTCTCGTTGAAGTATTCCCTGATCGTCTTCTTGCAGTCCAAACCCAGTGGCTTCTTGACATCCTCGAACCAATGATTGATGCGCCAGAGATCAAAGGGAATGTGCTCGCCCAAGTGTCCAAGGATGATTTGTAGTTTGGGATGGCGATCAAATACGCCGTTCGTCACCATACCGAGCACATGGAGGGAGACACCTTGTGCGAAGGAGAGGGGTGGGCCCACGAGCCACTGGCGATCTTTCCACAATTTCTCAAATACAACGCCCGTTGGGTTACGAGGATGTAGATAGAAAGGGACGTCAAGTTCTGTGCAAGTTTGCCAAAATACATCCCATTCAGGCTTGTCGTAGAAGATGAGGTCGTCTCCATCCTTTCCTGAGCGCTGTGTATCGTTGACTAGTGCGCCCTTGAAGCCGTACTTGGTGACACAACGACGGAGTTCAGCCGCTGCTTCCTTTGGGTCATGCATGGAGAGAGTGCTGCGGTTTGTGTTAATCAGGTAACAAACCTGGCACAAATGAAGAAAGAAAAAACGATTTACTCACGCAAATGCACCTAGGCGGTCCTCATAGCCTTTGATGCTCCCAGCGACATAGTCGTTAATTTCCACGGCGAGTGCCTGAGCCTCTTTGGGGTCGCTGACGTCTTGCACTCCGGGTGCTGTGTAGGAAAGAATAGTATAGCCCACGCCATACTTGTCGGCATGCTTAATGCGAATATCTGTGAGATCCATAATCTCTTGCAGATGTTGATCTGGCTCTGTGCTGAAGAGGCCCGCCCACCATCGCGCTTTTTCTGCGAAGCGGGGAAGGTCGAAAGCCTCCTCGAGGATTACCTTGCCGAGCATGATGATTAACTATTGAAGGGAAGTCTTGGGGTGAAAGGAAGGGGAATATGGTTTCTGGATAATTCCAATTGGGTGCTGTGCCCTGTTCGAGTTCTTATACAGAAAAGAACCATTTGACCCATTGTTAGATTTCGCGTTCTATGATCGCTAATATACTTATATATCACATTTGACAGATCTCCTGCCTCTCGATTACGTAGCCCGGGGTCCCTACCAAAGTCCCCGGGCCCAAAGCTGCAGTGGAATACTTCTCGCGGAATTGCGGATATAGCTTCGTCCCAAGTGAAGGAGGATAAGGGTCATTAACCGCCAGCCTTTCGGTGTATGGGAACGGCCCGCTCCCCCCTGGAGCCCCACATCCGACATGTGATTACGTGATCGAACCGACTGTGAGACAACGACATCCCATTGCTTGGGGGTACCTTAGCGTGACGGTATAACCAAGCAAAATGAGCGTGAAGAGCCTTATAGCTACCTGGTCAAGATACGATGCTTTGTATTATATAATCCTTATCATCAGAACGTGCGTTGAGCTAAAGTGAACTGGAGCAAACCTCGTCGCCTCTTTGAATGAACGAAGGCACCGACATCAAAGGAGGCCGGCGTGATTACAAACAGTGACATCGTCAACGACTCAATACAAGAAAACATTTGCCCATGGCACAGTATTGTGCAATGTATTTGGCGTCTGTGTTGATAAGTCACTCACATGCAATAGCTTCAACAAATGGTCGCAGCTCCTGGGCATGCAATAGAATTCCTGGTTGCTGAATTCAGATCACCGCCCATGATAATTTCCGCCAATATTTACGGTACGACACAAACAAAGTTTTCGACAAGCCAGGCCCTCCGAAATAGATTTTATTGATTAGCCAGTAGATGCACGTATTTGGCTTGGTTTGCGGGGTTGCTACATGTGGGTCTAGCGGACCATGGCATTTGAAAATTTCCCATGTAAGACAGAATTCTCCATCATGGCTAGAAAATCTCTGAAGGGGCCTACCTAGGTCTCGGGCAAGTTGCTTGTATACTTTGCGTATAGTAGGAAAGAATCCCGATACCTGTCTAGGTATGTAGGTGGTCAATATGGATCACGCACACAATGTCATGAGCAAAATTGCCACATTCTTTACTTATCTATTCGCTTTTTTCTTCCTTTATCTATAAACTATGACAGGAGGCTCTTATTGGATCGAATAAGTTTCAGTCAAATAGGAAGTAATTGCTTTAATAGACCTGAAAAGACAGATTAATACCGTGAGCTACTTTGTCAGGCTTCAGTATGTAAATGGCGGGTGCTTTTTATGGCCCCAGTCTGCTTTATCTGTCGTAGAAACCACTTGCTTGAATATCAGTCCTGAGTATCTATAGAATTCGTCTTTCCAAAGCGATTACGTGGTACTTGGTAATACCTAGGTACTGTTTCAGCGATTCCGCGCAGCGTATCTCAACGCTGAACAGGCTGATCAGCCCAAAGTACCTGGCCGTCCCTTTCGAAGGCTTCCAACAGAAGCAAGTAGCTACTGCCCTTGTCTCCAAGCGGTCCGGCTTGTGTGATGCCGAATCTGGAGATCTGATGAACCGATGGAAGAGGACTCAGACGATCTGCGTTTTCATCCCGACAGAATGACGAGAATTGATTGGAAATGGCTTCACGCTCATCTTGAAACCGAACAATGCCGTTGGACCAATCGAGAGTCCGGAGATAGGGTACAGATTTGTGCGCACGCAAAACAAGAAATCCCTGATGAGCTCACTGCAAGACTCTTAAAACACAGCTATCTCAAAAGAAAGCTACTCGTGCGTCAAAATTCAAGACGCGGACTCTTTTCGTCATACTATTGCGTTCACAAACGAGGTTGTGCAAATTAGCAATACTTCCCGCGTACTTAGGTAAATAGCAAAGTCATTCATTGGAATCCCGCAAAATGCGAGAGGGCTACTCAAACAGTATTGAATTTTGGGTCTCAATCAAGTAGAAATATCAACTCACATGTGTTAATTCGGAAACGATTTCCATCACTTTCTTTGGATCACTGAGTCCGTGTAGAACCATTTGCACAAGGATTGTGAATGAAACTGCTTTGCCTTTGAGCATCCGAAGAGGAATTGCTGTACGGCCGTATGTCCACAGCCTCTCGATGGATAAGAAATGAAGCAGGAAATTCAGATTGGATAAGATAGATACCCACCAAAAACAAAAAAGCCGAGTACGGCAACAACGTAGCATCAAAACTACAGGAATGAGAGAGGATCGAACTCTCGACCTCGGGATTTGCAATCCCACGCGCTACCGCTGCGCCATCATTCCGAGATCAACTTCAACCTTGAGACACGATCCCTGTACATTGCATAATATACTCATATTTTGCTCTCAACCGAGGCTGTACAAAGGTTGGAGCCTGACTTGGTACAAATATCATGCGTCTCTTGACGAATACCAGAATCAATATCAATAAAGACAATAATTTGCCTTTGAGATGCTCTGCATGTTAGTTTGTGTTTGATGCTACCCAGGTAAGTAACACTGGATGTTGTATTGGTCTTATCCGATTGGTATGTCAATCTTCCGGGTCCCTATCCGGGGACCTCTAGTACCTTTTAAACATTTAGGCTTTGCATGACGAGGCCCCTTCTTCTCTTAGTGGTGTTCCAGAGTGGCCATGTGACAAGCATTGCTTTTGATTGTGTGTCGACCAAGAGAAGACAACTATTTCCGTAAATCCTATCTTCTAGTACTTCTCCTCGCATCCGACTCCAGAGCAAGAGGATCAAGGCATTGTTGCCCACATGCGGAGCCATTCAGATGAAGCAGACGGGAGCTAAGAAAAATCCGGGGTAAAAGTTGCGGGGACCCTCGTGCTTCACCCGCCGTCAGCCCATTCTTGCGTTACAGAACATACCCGACGCCAACGAACTGCCCCGTACTATGTAAACTATAACGAATAATACGCCGGTGATTTACAAAGCGGGCCCTGGTCGTGGACAAGATGGAGGTCTGAGAAGACCGGGACATCTTGCACAACGAACAACTCTTTTCACACTCTAGGACAGTCTTTGACGCTCCCGAGATACGATTTCTTGGCTATATTAGTTTTTGCCCCTTATCCGAGATATATGCTAAACTTCATTTTTATTCACTAAACCCACGTCGACAAACGACTGAGCATCTGCCCATTCCTTCCCCGCGCCTCTCATCACCAGTCACATTCATCGAATCTGTGACTGCCTTCATTATCGCAAACAGCCACCGCAATGTCAGGTTCAGCAACAACTAATGGCAATGGCCATGCCGCAGGCGACGAAGTAAAGAAGCCCAAGTATGACCCAAACTTCACGGATAGCGTCATCGCAGCTACCGGTCCAAAGGCTAGTCCGCGGATGCGTCAGGTCATGGCCTCCATGATCCGGCACGTCCACGACTTTGCCCGCGAGAATGATATCACCGTGGCTGAGTGGATGGAAGGTGTTCAGATGCTGAATTGGGCGGGACAAATGTCCAACGACAAGCGCAATGAAACACAACTTCTCTGCGATGTCATTGGACTCGAGTCGCTGGTTGATGAGATCACCAACAAGCTGCTGGTCGGTGCTGACTATGAGAGCACCAAGTCCGCCATCTTGGGGCCTTTCTTCCGGAAAGATACACCACCTACAGAGAACGATGCCAGCATAATCAAGACCATGCCGTCAGATGGTGAGATTACCTTTATGCACGGCGTGGTTCGCGATGCTGTTACAAATGAGCCGATTGAGGGTGTCACAGTCGACATCTGGCAATGCTCCACAAATGGTCTGTACGAGCAGCAGGATCCTGATCAGGCAGAGTTCAACTTGCGGGGCAAGTTCACGACGGACAAGAACGGGTACTACGGCTTGTATTGCCTGAGGCCCGTACCGTATCCCGTACCATACGACGGTGAGCAATGCTGTTTCTTTTATCATTTGCAAAGAACGCTTTACTGACATTGAAGCAGGCCCGGCCGGCAAGCTTTTGCAGCTGTTGGATCGTCACCCATACAGACCCGCGCATATCCACATCATGGTGAGAAACTCTCTTAGATGAGCTCTTGTTGGGACTCAAGCTGACGCATTCAGGCTGGCAACGACAAATATACGCCACTTGTCACACAGATCTTCGACAAGAACACAAAATATCTTGAGGATGATTCAGTGTTCGCTGTCAAAGATGACCTTGTTGTTGACTTCAAGCCTGTGAAGGGCAAGAACAATGCGACATTGGATCTTGAGTACGACATTCGTCTTGCAACGGTAAAGGCGTGAAACTGCTAAGATTGTGTAACAAAGCGTCTTCAGCGGCATGGCAAAAATATTGAGTATGGGGAAGGCCTCGAGACGGGATCAATTGCAGTATGTCTTGGTGATTTGTTCTGGCGGCTTTGCAATCTTTGGCCGGTCATTCCTATTTGTCAGTGACACCTGTAGCATTTTGAGTTTTGGTTGCCTCTGGTGTGAGATATTGTGTCGCTACCTACCACAGAATGCATATGCCCCTGTTTTGGGTTCTACGTTCCAAGATTCTTTGCAACCAGAAGTGATGATGCTTATTAGCTGCCAAATGATACCTCTGTCCTGTTATTGACGCCACCACAAAAAACAAACATGACCCTCACATAGAATACTACTAATGGAGCTCTATGTATACACTTGTCCAATAATTTAAATGCGAAACGATCCTACTGTTCGAGTGTGACACACCAACACCACCCACCCAGGCTCGGAGTTCCAGCTCAAGTCTGATTTGTCGATGTGAAGTCCTCATACCCAGGTAGCTAGTCACGATGTGCAGATGAAGGACTCCTGTGTAGATGTGATTGCTTTTGTGAGTAAGCAGTATTTGATTCGACGACGTTTCTCAAAATTGTCTCGCAAAGGTCTATGTATTTATTGGGCACAGATCTCTTGACTAGTTCGCACTGCTGCCAACGGTCAGCCTGCATCCATCGTGGAAACAACATCGTCACCAATTATCCACGAATTCATGACTTGCTCTCAATGTTCTCGTGACAGGAGGTGGCTATAAGAAATACCGCTGAAGGCAAATGCATAAAATTGAGTCGCTATATTAAAACATGACAGTCCCACACATATTGTGAATAATATTGGCGGCATAAAGGAGAATTACGGAGGAAATGAGCAGCCCAACTTTAAGGTCCACGCAAGCAAAGTTACTCCTTGATTGGATGTTTTCCCACCCATTCATCCCACATGCCTGCAAAGTCATAGGGAGTATAGGCTTCCGTCAACTCCTTGACCCAGGACTTCTTTCGGTATGTATTCAACCCCATATCTTTCATAAGCATGTTCACATAAGGCAACCCTTCGAACACAAAGTCTGGCAGACTCGCGCCGTACCCGCATGGGAACCGCCATTTTCCCCATTGCGTATGCAGCATAATCTCGTCTTTGATCTCATCTGGACTCTCGGCCACCCTGTCCAATTTGTCATCCAAGAAAGCCGTGATCCAGGCCGCTTGTACTGAGGCACACACTGCCGTGTTGACCGTGCTGACCATACCCGAGTACGCGAGATTCCTCGCCTTGACCATCGTGGACGGGACGATGAAGCGGTAGTATCTGAGAGGCTCGGCGTCTTTTGGTTCAAATCGCAGTTGAGGTTGATCTTTCAGTCGCGGGAACATGGTCAATACGTCGTTGTCGGCTTTAGCATTGAGCTTGATCCTGTCTGCGTCCGCCAAAGCCTGCGGAAGGCCGAGACCGACAGCTTCGAGACCGGTGAATTTGATAGAAGACTCCTTTTTCCATCCAGTCGAGCAGACCATGCCATCCGCCTCCAAAACTTCTCCTGAGGATAGCACAGCTTTGCCTGGCTCAAGACGATCAATGTTGTCAATATGCACCCGAATCTTGCCCTCCTTGACCAGGTCAAAAAGAGGCGTATCGTAGTTCAGGATACTTAGACCACTCCCAATCCAGAATGCGGAGTTCCACGGCTTCATCTTCGCCAGCTCGGGATGTGAATCATACCGGATGGCATCCAGCACATCGCCTTGAAGAACCTTCCAAAAGCAATCAACCACGAACCTTCCAAGCCTGGTCCCGTGGAGAAAGCTCCGGACCCCACCATAGCCGTCTTCTGCTCCCCAGGGGCATGGACTGAACCAGGTCAAGGCCCTGATGTTGAAAATGGTGTCAAGTCGGCGCTTCAGAGGAGTGACAAACGGTGGCGCAATCCACACTGGCCCGTGACCATTTGGCCGAATCACCAGGTCGACGAGAGTCCCGTCTTGTACGAGAGCGTAGGCGACGTCGTAAGCAGACTTTGCACCGCCAACAACGACGGCTTTCTTCACCCCCTTGAGCTCCGAGGCTCGCCGGCAAAAGTCCTTTGCATGGAAGAGTGGTTTTTCGAAAGTCTCAGCGCCGGCATACTGTGGCATATTGGGTGTCGATGTAAGGCCGGTGGCAAGAATAAGTTTTGTCGTGATCATGGTTCGCTGTGCACCGTCTTGGCCTGCGACGCTGAGCCTCCACCCTGTGATGTCGCTGGAGTCGGACCGTAAGGCCTCCACATTGTCGACCTTGCTGTGAAATTGCATACGTTCTAGCAGGCCGTAATGCTTGGCAAAGTCTGTCAAGTAGCGATGCAGAACTGCTCCAGGAATATGACCGCCCGGCTTGACGCCATAGACGTCCTCCCTCATCGGGAAATCCGGATATTCGTAGCTCCCGACCATGTTGTTGGACTTCAAACCAGGGTACAGGCGGGCCTTGGACCAGGTGCCTCCGCAGCTCTCGGCCGCCTCGAGCACAGCAATGCGCTCATGCGGATGAGTCTCGACGTACGACCTAGCTGCTGCAAGGCCGTACCAGCCTGGCGATCAAAACTTGTAAGCGTTCACGAGCATTCTGTATACCGGGCAGCATGGATCACCTACCGGCGCCAACCACCACCATATCATAGGTATCTTGCGCCATACTGCAGGAGTGGAAGTAATAGCGTTGCGTGAAATCTTATTTCTACTTTCTTATTCGACACCGTCTCGCCGATGAAGAAGCACGATCTTTAAAACGAGGTTATGCTTGAATATGAGGGGAACTTAGCGCCTCGGGCTCGTTGGTGTTGCGTCTCTTTATTCTCATGACTTAGGGCGAGACGCCTTCGACACAAGTATGAGTCCAGGCTCTGGACAGGCGGCTATTAAGAAACCCCCCTGCTTGGGGCCGTAACCGCCACAGAGCGTCCCTTATCTCTTTCTTTACATGATCTACTCTTTGGGGCTTATGTAGTAGCATTCCCCAATTCAATTCGTCTGCATATCGATAGTT